AACAAATATTACTATAGCAGTATACATTATATCCTAAAAAACATAAATCCAATGTGCTTTTTTGCTAGTGGAACAAACACAAAACTGTAACAAATATGGCTTAATTGAACTTTTTTATTTATTTATTTTTTTGGCCAAGCTGAACTATTCTACCACTTTAACCTCGGGTTACAAGCTTCTACTGGTCATAACAACTGGATGCTGCTTGCTTGTGAATGGGTGGTTCTTCACACCCATCTGAACCTGATGATAAATAACCCACCACATCTCTGTTGCCAGTGATCACCCACGGGTCAGATTATTTTAGATGAGCCCTTTGCAGCGTGAACTTCACTAGCCCTCCCTGAACCATATAAACTCCCCTCCACATCTATTGAAATCGTGACTTGTCTTGGATTACCTGCATCACCTGTAATGGAAAGATAGTGATGCGACGCTGAGTGCATTAAAACCCTGTTGCATTCCATGAAAAAACACCAGTGGCTCAGACAGCATAAATACTGATACGTGTCAATCATTTATAGTATTTACTGTCTTAAACTCTGCCTTTAAGTAGGCTACATTTAAATGATGTAGCGTATATTTTGCGCAGTAGGTAGCAAAAAGGTTCAGCGCATATATATATATATGCGTTATGTGAACGGGAAACAGTTTAATGAGTCCCGTTAGTTGAGTAGGCTTGTAAAATAACGCGCTTACCTTTGTCAGCTGCGCTATTTTCTTGCACATTTTCGTGTGCATTTGATAATCAAACAGTTCCTGCGCTACATTCACATTGGGGATATCCGCAATAGCGGTCCCGTTACATGCACCGCTGCCGCCGGTGGGCTGGTTCATCTTCCCGGAGCTCGAAGCCATAATAACCACGCTGATCAATCACAAGCTGGGCTGCGCAACACACGGGTCGCCTCTGCGTGATCCTGAAGGTAACGTTAGAGTGCGTACGACAGCCGAAAGCATTGTGCATGCTGCAGCGCCCGGTGCTCCCGGTCCCGGTGAGCGCACGGCTCACGAGATAATGCCATCGGCGCTGCTCGACTCACTGACGGCATGTGCACCCAGCCCGGACACCTGTCTCTCACCCGGGGTGTGACTACAGTCTTACATTACGAGTCACGGGTACTGCAGTGTAATCATAACCCCTCCCAGGAGCAGCACAACAAACAGAAGCACGCGCTGTTTCCACGCCTCGGTTTCTTTACAGATACTAGCTACATCTGATTTGTGAGTGCTTAAAGATTCAGGTCGTTTTGTTATGAACAAAAGCATCAACAACAGGTAAATAAAAATAACCGATTTTCTCTGCCAGTAAATGACAAAGGTGGAAAATTACGTGCGTAAGCATTATTTTAAATAAATGGGAAAAGTGAAATCCTCATACATATCTGAACCATATTTCGTTAGAAGGTAGGTTCATTTAGAATTTAAAAGAAGAAGAAAAAAAAGAACTGGGGTGAATCAATAAATCATGAATAAATTACTGTCTTTGTGTGAATAATATCCATTAAAAAGTAACTGTAATCTGATTATAAGCATTTTAAAACGTAATATAATCTGATTACAAGTAGGCCTTGTATATAAATAGCAACATTGATGCATTTCCCAAATTATATTTGTGATATATACATTTTGCACTCTTGGTGCACATAATGGTAAAACCATTGTGTAGCCACTAGATGCTATGTAAAATATGTAAACTGGTTTATGCAATCCCTAGCTGCTAAGAAATTGTAATCACACATAAATTCATTTTATTACGTTTGGATACATGTTTAGATATTCTCAGTGAGCACTTTTTGTGTTTATCTGTTTTTGTTTAGTTGTTGTTGTTTGAAATGTTGATTTAAAGTGTCAGTTTTTGCATTATTCATTCATGAAGACGACATGAAAAATGGTCTCCTGGTGGAAAACAAAGACTTGTAAGATGAAAATGACATGAAATTATCATTATAACCAGTCGATGGAAGCAGAGGATCACTCATGTGCTCAGTTGCAATTTCCACTCCCTAGTTTTTTTCACGTCTTGCTTTTGGATTTATTACAAAATGACTGAAGTATAGCAAGTGCAGGAAGTCACAAAGTCTCGTGTCATTTAAAAAATAAATAAATAAACAAATGAGCCCAGACATCAACAGCCTAGAAGGGTTAATTATTTGAATATTTAACAAGTCGACAAAAAAATAAGTTAACTTCTAATGGTATAATAATTAAATAACAATGCATTAAATACTCTTTTTTTTAGATGCTAAAAACTACAATTTTCGAACATTGCCTCATCAAGGACTCATCAAAAAGAGTGCTTTAGGTTTTATCTTCAACTGTAGAAGCTGCTAACTTTCTATATACGTTCAGTCTCAAATAACTAAATAATAAAGTTAAACAGCTATATTAATTAGCAGTGTTGGGGAAAGTTACTTTTAAAAGTAATGCATTACAATATCGCGTTACTCCATAAAAAAGTAACTAATTACGTTACTTAGTTACTTTTTATGGAAAGTAATGCATTACGTTACTTTTAAAAACTGGACAGGGCTTGCTTGTTTGTTTTTAAAATAAAAAAGTTATATTTTCGGCAAATATAAAAGCCTTTCACACCAAAAGTGAAATGAATAAGCCTCAGGCTGAAGGGAAAGTACAGTAGAATGCAGAAGAACACACTTCAGCAATAAATAAAGACACACAAATGTTTGTCTAGAGTAATTTGTGTTTATTAGTACGCTTGAACTGCATCATCGAAGCTCAGAAGCAAATAGAATGGGTTTAAATACATAAAGTATATTTGTGTTGTTTAACATTTAATTATTGCAGGTTTGCGTCATATTCTGAGTTGCATTATTTTTATTCATTTTGAGGAATACTGAATCTGTGTTTTTATTTTTTTTGTGTGAGTGAGATTAATTAATGCATATTCATATTTATTTTGAACTACAGTAACATCATCTGATTTCTGTCACCGTGGCAACACCAGAGCTGTCAATCAATACATGGAAAAAAGTAACTTGCGTTACTTATTTGAAAAAGTAACTCCGATATTCTCTTGTAAATTAAAAAGTAATGCGTTACTTTACTAGTTACTTGAAAAAAGTAATCTGATAACGTAACTTTTGTTACTTGTAATGCGTTACCCCCGACACTGCTAAGATATGAAACGAAGTTTAACGCTGCTCTTACTAAGCCTCTGAACGCCCCTGTAGGAATAGTATTGGCCAACTACGTAGTGAGCAACATTAAGTCAAGTCAAGTCAAGTCAAGTCTGCTTTTCTTCAAGTTAAACCGAACTTTTCAAGTCAAGTCAAGACTGCTTTATTGTCAATTCTTCTACATGTACAGCACATACACACAGAGAATTGAAATTGCGTTACTCTCAGACCCTTGGTGCATACAGATAACACTAACAGTAGAACATAAATACAGATAGATACAGATTAAATATAAAAATACAACTATACAAATATACAAGTAAGGGAAAATGTAAAAAATGTAAAAAAATATATATAAAGCAGCACAAGGCACAAGGCACATTAAAGGGATAGTTCACCCAAAAATGAAAAATACACACAGAGAATTGAAATTGCGTTACTCTCAGACCCTTGGTGCATACAGATAACACTAACAGTAGAACATAAATACAGATAGATACAGATTTAATATAAAAAATACAACTATACAAATATACAAGTAAGGGAAAATGTAAAAAATGTAAAAAAAAATATATAAAGCAGCACAAGGCACAAGGCACATTAAAGGGATAGTTCACCCAAAAATGAAAATGCTCTCATCATTTACTCACCCTCAAGTAGTTTCAAACCTGTATGAATGTCTTTGTTCTGCAGAACACAAAGGAAGATATTCTGAAGAATGTGGGAAACGGAGCACTTCTGGGGCACCATTGACTTCCATAGTGTTTTTTTCTCCTACTATGGAAGTCAATGGTGCCCCAAAACAGCCTGGTTACAAACTTTCTTCAAAATATCTCCCTTTCTGTTCGGCAGAACAAAGACATTTATACGGGTTTGGAACTACTTGAGGGTGAGTAAATGATGACAGAATTTTCATTTTTGGGTGAGCTATCGCTTTAAGGAATGAACGCGTTACAGCTGGCTGTGATTGACAGGCAGAAGCGGAAGGAGGCGGTCCTACGATACTCTCGCGAGAGGACGGTTTGAAAAGTGGCGCTTCAACGTTTTTCAAGATAGAGGACTGAAAAGCGACTCCCGCAGGTACGACACGGATTAAAGTATTTCCCCCAAAAAGTCTTGATCAGAAATTAAGTATTATGCAGAGACACGAACAAGGATGAATGCTCTGGCAAGCTATAATCCGCTAAAATGATAATTATGAGTTAGTTCTTCGTGTTTTTGTGTCGATGCTAACGGTCGATGCTAACCGCAGGAGTCGCTAATTTCCTTCCTTCACACAAACAAACCTCTGTTTCACAGAGAATATGATATTTTATTCAGCTGTTTCACCTGTTTGCTTATTTGTTTTATTTAGTATGGGATGTCATCTAGTTGTGTAGTACATATCCTAGGTCATTTAATGAATAACTCTTTATTTAGATCATTAAAAGTGTCCGATGGGTCGAGGAAAGATCAGGTAACGATTCTGTCGTGCTGTGACTAATTAACTTTAACATGTGAAGTGTGCTATTAACAGCTAACGCTAAAACAACTAAAAACAATATACATGTTCAGAGGTACGACACGGATTAAAGTATTTCCCCCAAAAAGTCTTGATCAGAAATTAAGTATTATGCAGAGACACGAACAAGGATGAATGCTCTGGCAAGCTATAATCCGCTAAAATGATAATTATGAGTTAGTTCTTCGTGTTTTTGTGTCGATGCTAACGGTCGATGCTAACAGCAGGAGTCGCTAATTTCCTTCCTTCACACAAACAAACCTGTTTCACAGAGAATATGATATTTTATTCAGCTGTTTCACCTGTTTGCTTATTTGTTTTATTTAGTATGGGATGTCATCTAGTTGTGTAGTACATATGCTAGGTCATTTAATGAATAACTCTTTATTTAGATCATTAAAAGTGTCCGATGGGTCGAGGAAAGATCAGGTAACGATTCTGTCGTGCTGTGACTAATTAACTTTAACATGTGAAGTGTGCTATTAACAGCTAACGCTAAAACAATTAAAAACAATATACATGTTCAAGTAGGTGTCTTTAATTTGGTATGTGTCTGAAATGAATGGGTGTCTTGGTTTTGTAAACAGTATCATATATTCACGCATGTGCTTTGTGTTTGTGTTTCAGTAACTTCAACATGTCTGGAGACAGTGATCTGGTGATTGAAGAGGCTTTCCGGCGAGCACAGAAAGCTCATCATAACAAGGCCAAACTTGTTGCCAGTTTGAAGAACAGATACGATAAGGTACTGCAGATGTGCATGATAAAATTCACATTATGATATACCACCCTTCAATATTTTGGGGTCTGAAATGTGTTTTTTTGGGGGAGATACATTTAGTTTATAAATGACTGAAAATACTACAAAATTTAGTCTTGTATTTATAACTATTTATCATGGTGTAATGCATCTGTTTCCACAAAAAGCACAACTGCTTTCAACATTGATAATAAGAAGAAGAAATGTTTCTTGAGCCCCAAATCAGCATATTGGATTGATTTGTTATGGATCATATGACACTGAAATCTATGCTTGAACAATTTCATAACAAAACTGCCGAGGGGATACTTTCATCTGAAATACACACACACACACATATATATATAGATATAGATATCTATATAGATATATAGACAGATAATATATATATATAGACAGAGATATAGATATATAGATATATATATATAGACAGAGATATATATAGATATATATATATAGACAGAGATGTATATATATATATATAAAACAAACAAAAAAAAGTATGTAGTAAAAGAAAATAGCATTTTGAACTTATAAATTGAACTTTGTCATTTATAAATTTAGAAATCTCCCACCATAACCTCTTTGTATATTATTGCCAATGCCGGGAAATATGAATGTCTGCTGAAATTACATTTTGAAATAGAAAACATTTGTTTTAAATTGTAATAATATTTCACACGATTATTTTTTTTACTGTAAGTTTGATTAAATAGATGCAGCCTTTATGAGCATACGAGACTTCTTTTGAAAAACGTGTAATATATTGACCCCAAATTTTTAGAATGGTATTTTAGTTGCATAGGATATTTTCCTACATTGTTGTCTGATACATTAAAAAATATTCTGAATAAGAGATCTATTTTAATTCTGTTCTCTCTGTGTAGTTGGAAAATAAGACGGAATTCCATGAGGAGTTCATCCGCTGCCTGAAGTACGCCATGATCATTTACACCCGAGAGCCGGCAGTGGAGAATGTCATTGATTTTGTCACAAAGTTTGCTGCAAGTTTCGAAACTCCTGTTAATGAGAATGCTGAAGAGGAGGAGGAGGAGGAAGACGAGAATGAGTTTTTGAACTTCCTGTTCAACTTCCTGTTAGAGGTAATGTCAGTATGCTTTCTCTCAGGCCTGCATATGAGTGACGAGCGTATCTCATGGCATTACTTGTTTATGTTAGATTTCTTATCTGTACTATCTTTGTCTCTCCCTCAGTCTCATGGTGCAAACAGCCATGCGGTGCGGTTTCGTGTTTGTCAGCTGGTGAATAAGCTGCTGGGCAGTCTGAGTGAGAATGCTCAGATTGATGATGATCTGTGTGATAGGATCCATGAGGCCATGCTGATCAGAGTCACAGACAAATACCCTAATGTCAGGATTCAGGCAGCACTGGCCATGTCCAGAATCCAGGACCCCAGTAACTTGGACTGCCCCACTATTAAAGGTACTCGGAGTGCTCATACTTCATGCTAAAGGACATTGAGCTACAGTCCCTAGTTAACATGTTTGTTACTGATCCGTGATTTTTCATGAATATAAATCAAAACGAGGTAAAAGTGATTATTCTGTGTTTTTAGCTTATATGCTGCTTTTGGAAAATGACTCAAACCCTGAAGTTAGACGAGCTGTGCTGTCTTGCATTGCTCCCTCGGCCACTACACTTACTAAAATCTACAAGCGCACCCGGGACGTCAAAGAGAAAGTCAGGAAACTTGCTTATCAGGTAAAATTGTTTGAAAAAGGTCAAAAATGTTTATTCCAGATATGTATAACGTACACTACAGTTTAAATATTTGGGGTTAGTACGATTTTTCTCTTATGCTCACCAAGGTTGCATTTATTTAAGCATCAATACAGTCAAAACAGAAATATTGTGAAATGTATTACAACTTAAAAGATGATATTTCTGTTATAATATATTTTAAAATATAATTTGCTCCTGTGATGACAACTGAAATTTCAACAGCCTCTAGTATTCCGAAATCATTCGTATATGCTGATTTGGTGCTCAAGAAACATAAACATGTTGAAAACAGTTGTGCTGCTTATTTTAATTTTTTGTGGGAACTGCAAAAAAAAACTTTCTGTCAGTTTTGTTCAATTTAATGCCTCCTTTCTGAATAGAAGTGTTAATTTCTTTCAAAAGAAAAGCTTACTGACCCCAATCTTTTGAATGGTAGTGTATGCTATAAGTTCAAATATAATATGTGTGCGTGTTTGTGCCTCAGGTACTGGCAGAGAAAGTGCACATTCGAGCACTGAGCATTGCTCAGAGAGTCAGTCTATTGCATGAAGGTCTCAGTGATTCTGCAGGTAAGGAAATTCTGCGTTTGTTGATCAAACTCAAAGAATCCATTTGTACACAGTTCATGTCAATCTCATAACAACAAGGTCTTAGGCACAAACAAGTTATTTACAAGATGACAACTGGGTCATTAAAGACTTAAATGTGGGTTTTTACCAATAAGGGAAACACCCCATTATTTCTTTCATTTTCAAATCCTTGAGATGAGACATGTTTTTTAGTGTGCTTTCACACTTGGTTCGATTGCTTGGTCCTAACCCGAGTTCGATTGCTCCCCCTGCCCCCGCTGGACTGTGTTCACATTATTTTATTTGGGTCCGAACTGCGGTTCGTTTGCATCATCAAGCCAGCAGCTGTTTACCCCGTTGCTTAGTAATGATGGCGCAGGAGAAGACGGCAAAATGAGTAGCATTGCTCTTTTCAATTTTATGTTTTTGAACCGTTGGCTTTTTCCAAAGCTTCAGTAGCCTACATAACGGCACTTACGTCTGCCTTACGAATGTACTGCAAATGCTCTAAAGAACTCTGAACGCGAACAGAAATGAGATATATAGCTCTCTGCTTTGAGCGCGTCAGTCAGGAAAAGTGAGTGAAACACACATTTTTATCAAATACGTCATTAGTAGCGCTGCCTGAAGTACGCCATGATCATTTACACCCGAGAGCCGGCAGTGGAGAATGTCATTGATTTTGTCACAAAGTTTGCTGCAAGTTTCGAAACTCCTGTTAATGAGAATGCTGAAGAGGAGGAGGAGGAGGAAGACGAGAATGAGTTTTTGAACTTCCTGTTCAACTTCCTGTTAGAGGTAATGTCAGTATGCTTTCTCTCAGGCCTGCATATGAGTGACGAGCGTATCTCATGGCATTACTTGTTTATGTTAGATTTCTTATCTGTACTATCTTTGTCTCTCCCTCAGTCTCATGGTGCAAACAGCCATGCGGTGCGGTTTCGTGTTTGTCAGCTGGTGAATAAGCTGCTGGGCAGTCTGAGTGAGAATGCTCAGATTGATGATGATCTGTGTGATAGGATCCATGAGGCCATGCTGATCAGAGTCACAGACAAATACCCTAATGTCAGGATTCAGGCAGCACTGGCCATGTCCAGAATCCAGGACCCCAGTAACTTGGACTGCCCCACTATTAAAGGTACTCGGAGTGCTCATACTTCATGCTAAAGGACATTGAGCTACAGTCCCTAGTTAACATGTTTGTTACTGATCCGTGATTTTTCATGAATATAAATCAAAACGAGGTAAAAGTGATTATTCTGTGTTTTTAGCTTATATGCTGCTTTTGGAAAATGACTCAAACCCTGAAGTTAGACGAGCTGTGCTGTCTTGCATTGCTCCCTCGGCCACTACACTTACTAAAATCTACAAGCGCACCCGGGACGTCAAAGAGAAAGTCAGGAAACTTGCTTATCAGGTAAAATTGTTTGAAAAAGGTCAAAAATGTTTATTCCAGATATGTATAACGTACACTACAGTTTAAATATTTGGGGTTAGTACGATTTTTCTCTTATGCTCACCAAGGTTGCATTTATTTAAGCATCAATACAGTCAAAACAGAAATATTGTGAAATGTATTACAACTTAAAAGATGATATTTCTGTTATAATATATTTTAAAATATAATTTGCTCCTGTGATGACAACTGAAATTTCAACAGCCTCTAGTATTCCGAAATCATTCGTATATGCTGATTTGGTGCTCAAGAAACATAAACATGTTGAAAACAGTTGTGCTGCTTATTTTAATTTTTTGTGGGAACTGCAAAAAAAAACTTTCTGTCAGTTTTGTTCAATTTAATGCCTCCTTTCTGAATAGAAGTGTTAATTTCTTTCAAAAGAAAAGCTTACTGACCCCAATCTTTTGAATGGTAGTGTATGCTATAAGTTCAAATATAATATGTGTGCGTGTTTGTGCCTCAGGTACTGGCAGAGAAAGTGCACATTCGAGCACTGAGCATTGCTCAGAGAGTCAGTCTATTGCATGAAGGTCTCAGTGATTCTGCAGGTAAGGAAATTCTGCGTTTGTTGATCAAACTCAAAGAATCCATTTGTACACAGTTCATGTCAATCTCATAACAACAAGGTCTTAGGCACAAACAAGTTATTTACAAGATGACAACTGGGTCATTAAAGACTTAAATGTGGGTTTTTACCAATAAGGGAAACACCCCATTATTTCTTTCATTTTCAAATCCTTGAGATGAGATGTTTTTTAGTGTGCTTTCACACTTGGTTCGATTGCTTGGTCCTAACCCGAGTTCGATTGCCCCCGCTGGACTGTGTTCACATTATTTTATTTGGGTCCGAACTGCGGTTCGTTTGCATCATCAAGCCAGCAGCTGTTTACCCCGTTGCTTAGTAATGATGGCGCAGGAGAAGACGGCAAAATGAGTAGCATTGCTCTTTTCAATTTTATGTTTTTGAACCGTTGGCTTTTTCCAAAGCTTCAGTAGCCTACATAACGGCACTTACGTCTGCCTTACGAATGTACTGCAAATGCTCTAAAGAACTCTGAACGCGAACAGAAATGAGATATATAGCTCTCTGCTTTGAGCGCGTCAGTCAGGAAAAGTGAGTGAAACACACATTTTTATCAAATACGTCATTAGTAGCGGTTCACTTCCGTGATGTGGTACGATTGTGTTCACATCAGCAGCGAACCGTACCGGAGTTCACTTGAACCATACCCCAGACCACCCCTTTTAAGCAGACTCGGGTACGGTTCGTGGGTGCGCACCCGAGTTCGGAAGACAGCGTTCACATCATCCAAACGTACCGAACTCTGACGTCAGTCGAACCCAGGTGTGCACCAAAAGTGCTAGTGTGAAAGCACCCTTTCGAAACATTTGTAAAAGTGTCACCTGAATGCGTCTTAGAAATTTAATCTTGTGTCATATAGTTTTCTTGTAAAGTTCTGTAAATTGCCTATCTTGAAATGCTCTGCGCTCGCCATGAAATAGCTTTGTTGCTGACAGGATGGTAAAAGTCAATAAAACAAATCATGTCTATTTCCTTTAGACTCCGTAAAGGAGGTCGTCAAGACCCATTTGCTGCCTGCTTGGCTTCGCATGCAGCAGGGAGATGTTTTGCAGTTGCTTCACAGACTGGATGTAGAGAATTGTGCAGAAACTGCAGTGACTACTTTACAAGCCATCTTTTCCATGGCAACAAGCCCCGATGACCTCCTGCAGAACGGTGTCAGGCTGGATGAGAGGTCAGTTACTTGAATCTAAACACTGCAACAGGCATGCTTCAGTGAAAGCTGCTTTGCGGCATAAATCTACACCCTAAACCAGGGTTGCCAAAACTCGGTCCTGGAGGGCCGGTGTCCTGCAGAGTTTAGCTCCAACTTGCCTCAACACACCTGCCGGGAAGTTTCTAGTATGCCTAGTAAGAGCTTGATTAGCTGGTTTAGGTGTGTTTGATTAGGGTTGGAGCTAAACTCTGCAGGGACACCGGCCCTCCAGGACCGAGTTTGGACACCCCTGCCCTAAACCCTTCATGTATTCATTTGGAATGTTGAGAAGGGTTTAATGGAAAATAGAATATGAAAATAAGAATATTTTGGGCTTTATTTCATCATTCTTTGCTTTTAGCTATGAATAGAAACATTGCAGTGAATGCCATCGTCCATCGCCGCTGGCTGACAGACATCATGATGTTGAGCCCGGCATCGCCAAAATCGATAAAGATGAAAATATTAGGGTTGTGCACGAATAGTTGAATATTCTATCTGCAATAATTATTCGAAAAATAAAAACTATTCAAATTTCGCTAAAATGTTACTTTGCTGGCAGTAAATCCTGAGCACTCAAACTTTGTCAAGTGAAACGGAGTTATCACTTAAATGAGGAATCATATGAAATACAAACACCGGAATGTCATGACCAGTCAAATGAAGAAAAACAGCGGCACATCACTGCATTCACTAGTACTGCAGGTAGGCGCAGATGTGAGCCGAGAGACCACTCACTTTCTCTGCAGCCGGTATCCACAAGTGTTTCTCCCGAGGCTAGGATATATTTTTTTCAACAGTTTTCAGTGGGTGATTTAAGATGCCAGCAGCACAACAAAGCGCTAACACATGTTAAACTCTGAACAAAATGCAGCGCTCATCACTGTCAGTTTTCAGTCAGCCGTCCAATCACAGTGGAGGAGGGGCGGGGCAAATACCACACTGACCAACTGTCACATCCTACTTGTACTTCCACTGAATGACAATGGAGAAGTTAATATTGATATGAAAAATAATGCCTGCAACATGTCATTAGTGATGCGTCTGCCACATTACTTCAGCTACTGTTCTGTATCACAGCAACCAAAGCGGTCTCTGAGAGTCCAAAGTGTTCACAGCTAGGCATTTTCAGAAGAGCGCCTGGTGTTTTTATCTGGCTAAAACGCTTTGGTGGAGACTACTTTCACCCGATCATGTTTTTTTTCTCACCAAGAACATGTGAAACAATGCAAACATGATAACCATGCCGACTCGAGTGTATATGTATGTGCTTTATAACCTTTTTTGTTTTTTTCATTCGCTCTGCGCTGTTGAATGCATTTTTTTTCTGTACATTTTTTTTGTTTGCACATTGTTTAATGTTTTCAAAAAAAACAAAAAAAAAACAGGATAGCCTATTTAATTTATAAGTTTGTTGTGAATATAGTCTGATAAGGTTGTTCAGAAATGGTGACAAATATAATGTTTGAATAAAACAATAACGCCTTTAAATGAAATGTCATTTAAATAATTGAATATTTGTTTTTTTTATGAGCTGAAATATTCGAATGCAATATTTTTTTTTAAATGCCCATCCCTAAAAAATATCTAGTGGAAAATTAGAATGAGAATGTTTTTAATGATATAATTGTTTTCAGTGTTTTGGCAGGTGGCCATCTAGTGACAGTTTTTAGGTTTGGTCTTCTTACTTAAAGGTGCATATCGCTCTGTACAGGAAACTAATCCCTGTGGACTCCCTAACATGCGAAAATGTGTTGTACTGGAGAGCGTTGTGTGAGTTTGTCAAGAATAAAGGAAATGAAGGTGAGGAATTACTGGAGCAGTTACTCCCTGAGGCGGCCATCTTTGCGGAGTATCTGTACAGGTGATTGTACTCTACACTTATGTTTCTTTTAACCCATTTAAATGGGCTAATTCAATTTCTTCCATGGTTGTTTTTTTTTCATGTCGAATTCAGCTTAACATTAAACATTTGCAAATGATAACCCAGCTAAATAAGGAAGCCTTTTTGTTTCAGTTATCTAAAGAGCATTACTCAGCTGTCTGAGGAGCAGAGAGCAGATATGACACAGCTTGAGATGGTGATGACCCAAGAGTACATTGGTCAGCAGTTGATTCTGCTAGTCGGGTGTCTGGACACTTCTGAAGAAGGCGGCAGGTCAGAATTATCTAAACATTTAATCTCTTACTGATCATAATTTAGAGATCTAGTGCCTTTAGTTCTTGAGGGTCTGATTTCTCTATATCACTAAAACACCCTTATTTTTTAACTGCACATTTACTTTACATTGAGAATGTGTTCTGTTAAACTTCCCATGAACCGTTCTAGGAAGCGCATGGTAGCAGTGCTGCAGGACATTCTTCTGATGCCCAACACGCCCACCTCTCTGATTGGTCTGCTAGTGGAGAAACTGATTGGAATTCTACGAGACGACGCACAGAAAATTCAGATGGTCAGTCTTTGTGGGACCATCATATTCTTGGAAAAAACTTGCTTGACATTGTATCAATGTAGTCCTTTCAGATAGAATATGTACCTTTTTTTGACTGTAGGTCAGATACGGATCAAATTTCAAACAGCCTGCCCCAAAAATTAAAGTGTTTTTCCCACACATGCAACAAGGTGGTTGCAATGGCCAAAAATGGCTGAATTTTTTTTTTTGCCACAGTAGTTGTAATTGTGTATCTTCCCCATAAAATTCTTCTAAAATATTACTAACTATATATTTCTACCTCATCATTTGACCAAAATCTACATTGGATCGCAAACAGAAGTTATAACAAACACTCAGTGGTGGTTGATAGTGTATTTTAAGTAAAAGTGTTATATTAATTGTCATGTGTAGCTTGAAGCTAATTAGCTATAATTTCTCTGTTACCCAAATATGATTATATTTCATATATTTCACATATACAGTTCATAAGTATTTTATCAAAAGAAATCACATAAGTTCATAAGATTTTTCATTATAGTAATAAAATGTATTCCATAATGCCACATCTTACAAATCTGTGCTCAGATCACCTTTTCTCCTGACAAAATCAGTGTAATGGCAATATTTCCATCCGCTCAATGTAAGCTTTTCCATATTCCAAGCTTTCCTGATGCACTGGTGACTTCATGTGCGAGTCGTGAAAATTATGAAAATAAATCTAGGAATTGTTGGATTTCAAATCAGTAGGGGTTGAGGCATAAAAAGTAACTAGCTGTTTTATGGATGGTAACATATTATAACTGAAATCTTATTAGTAATTAGTTACACTACTAGTTACTGCAAAAAGTAACGTCATTACAGTAACTAGTTACTGCCCAACACTGCTCATGATAGAACTGAATTTTGGATCCAATAAATGCAGCCTTGGTGAGTGAGACTTCTTTCAAAAATATTAAGACGTTTTATCTACTCCAGACTTACAAATGGTAGAGTATACACAAGGAATTCTCAGGAGCACTGTTATTCGAACAGATATTTACTTGCTAATTAGCTTATTAGTTAATTGGTGTTGAATTAAAACTGTTCACTGTTGAATTTGTATCATATGATCATGAGCTGATTGATAGTTATTAGTCAACATTGTTCGCTCAGTGTTGTAAATATGTTACAAGCTTTATTTCATTGTAGATGAACGTTCTGGCTTAGTTGACTTTGTTGAAGTGTATATATTGACCGCAAGCCAGACATGAAGTGCTGAATTTAAATATAATCCCTCATAATGTAACCTTCTGTCGTGTGTGTGTGTGTGTGTGTGTGTTTCCCCCAGAGTGATCCAAAGACCTTGCTGAAATGTCTGACAATGTGTGCCGAGTTGTTCAAGCAAATGAACATCAAGAGAGGAATCTGCCCTACCATGAATGCTCTGATTGAGTCACTGGTACAATACGCATTCATAAAAGCACTCACATCAGTACCCATTTCCTGCTATTCTGCGGTGTAGGACAAGTGTGTCTGCATAGCACTTTTATCAAGTCAATTTGGTTACTGGATTCTCAACCCAAAATCAGTGCAGTGCTTAATTAGAGCTGCAGTTATGGGAATATAACTTCAGAGTGATCTCTCCATTCTAGATACTGCCAGGTGTGTCCAACCCTAACCCTGCTGTGCGCAACATGGCTGTGATCTGTTTGGGAACTGCTGCCCTCCACAGTAAAGACCTCGCCAACACACACCTTGTGCTGCTCTTGCAGGTATTTATAACACACTTGTTATAAAGATGAATGAATTCACTCTGTCCTAGTGGCTCAGAGGTTTATTTTTATTTGTATGTTTAGATCACACAGCTAGATGAGCCTAAAATCAGGATCAGTGCTCTCCGAGCTCTCATCGACCAGCTCCTGCTCAATGGCCTCAACATCCTGCAAGACAAGCCTGCTCCTGTCTCCCAAGACGACAGTAATGGGCAGCCTGAACATCAAGCTGAGGAGGAGGGTACCATTCAGAGCATCCTGAAGATGCTCTCAGAATTCCTTGATAGTGAGGTACTGCATATCCATGATGTTATTGGTTATACTATATTGGAACTTTGCTATCACTAGTAAACCTGATAGTTCCTGCCAAACCCTACAGCTAAAAATATCAATCATCATTGTATGCCTATCCTGCTGTAATAAATTGACACCAGGGCTAAAAATGTGACGGTTTTGTGCATGTCCAGTTGGAATGGAATTGACAGTAGGGCTGAACAATTAATTGCATTTGCGATAATATCGCAATATGAAAAAACGCGGAGGCTGCGATTACACTCATTGTACTGGTGCCACTGACACGAAGCTAACAGAGAGAGCTGCAGGGTCGGAGAAGAGATGCGGCAGACTAGTATTTTTATCTTCCCGCTGTTTGATCGCGCCGGTGCGTCACGCACACACAATACAGCACTGCAAACATTGCAGCCTGTTCATTATCTGAATAAAATAGGCTATATTCAACTAAACGTATAGCTACAATGCTTAATTTAAATAGTCTGTCGTACAATCCGTGCCGTGCAGCCACCAGCTCGGGCAAAGTACATAATTTTCTCATGTGATGAGAATGTTTTTTTTTGTTTTGTTTTTTGCGGAAAGTGCTTTAAATACAAAGCTTGTTTTATTCAAATACATCGCGAATATGGAAACATATGGATTCGTGCCGAATGAGAGAGGTAGGCTGCGTAAGAACAGCGCCGTTTGCTGTCGATTTCTCTTTAAATTCGTTTATATTTTTATTCATTCTTGTTCTGTCCTGAATACCGTTAAATTTGGATATGTTGTGGAGTGAGGAGAACTAAAATAGGCTAGCTATTGTGTTTACTGTTTGTTCATTACAACATTCCGCTTTATTAACCGGTATTATTTCTGAATGATGCAGTTTGTGCTTATCCCGATAGCACACGTACATCACAGAGACGTCTATTTGACATCTGCTAGATGTTTTTTTTTTTTTTTTTTAGAGTGTTTGCTCATCTGCAATACATCTATAGGATGTTTCCTGTTAGATGTCAAATAGATGGTTAGAAAATGTCTTTAAAGTGAACCTGATATGAAAGTTGCAGTCTTTTCTTCCTAGTGGTGACACTGCCATTCAAAAAATTTAGGATCAGGAAGATTTTAATTTTTTTTTTCTTTTTTTTAAGACACTTCTGCTCATCTAGGCTGCATTTATTTGATCAAAAATAGTGAAAACCGTAATATTGTGAAATTTAATTTAATATACTTTTAAAATGTAATTTATTTCTGTGATCAAAGCTGTATTTTCAGCATCATTACTCCAGTTTTCAGTGTCACATTATTCTTCAGAAATCATTCTAATATGCCGATTTATTAAAATAGAAGTCTTTTGTAACAGTACACTACTGTTTAAAAGTTTGGGGTCAGTACTTTTTCTTTAGTTTTTTGAAAGAAATTAATAATTTTATTCAGCAAGGATTTGTTAAATTGATAATATAATAGTATTTTGAATAAATGCTGTTCTTTTTAACTTTGTTCATCAAAGAATCCTGGGATAAAGTATCTCGGGTTCCAAAAAAAAATATTAAGCAGCAATGATAATGAATCAGCATATCAGAATTATTTCTGAAACATCTTGAGACACTGAAGACTGGAGTAATGATGCTGAAAATTCAGCTTGGCATTACAAGAAAACATTTTTTTTTAAAAATGTATTAAAATAGAAAACTGATATTTCAAATTGTAATATTTCACAATATTAGTTTTCTGTATTTGAACAGATAAATGTAGCTTTAATGAGCAGAAGAGGCTTTTTTTTTAAAAATGTGTAAAAAGTATGTGTGTGTGTGTGTGTGAAACTGCTTTTCGAACAAGGAGGGACTTGATTTATTATCCATCAGGAATTGATTGGATTGTTTGTTATCGTAGAATTGAAACTTGTCTGGATATATGACAACTGTATTATCAGGGAAGAGACGTTGTTGCAACCTTCAATAAAAAAAAAAATACACCAATTTTTGATTTTGCTGTAAAAAGAAAAAAAAGCCTCATGTGAGACAACTGTTAATGCTGCAGCTTCATTCACATCAATGCATAGGTTTTCTGCCAACTCATTACGCTGGCAGCTTGCTGAAGCTGATTGGTAGGCATTTCGACAGTGTGCCTAAATGGTGCTTGATTTCCATTTTTCAGATCTGTGAGCTCCGCACAGAGACAGCAGAGGGTCTGGCCAAGTTGATGTACTGTGGGAGAATCCTGAGTCCAAAGCTGTTGTCCCGTCTGGTGCTGCTGTGGTACAATCCTGTAACAGAGGATGACCAAAGACTGCGCCACTGTCTGGGGGTATTCTTACAGCTGTATGCCCGGGCCAGCAGGTACACACGTGGGAGACCCTCTCTTGCTTAAACATGTCAGTGCTTCAAGTGTGATGAAAGGGATAGTGCACCCAAAAATGAAAATTGATATTTACTCACGCTCATGTTGTTCCAAACTCGTAAGACTTTTATTTGACTTTGAAACACAAATGTATTAGAGAGATTTGTCTCCATTGAAAGTCCATTCCACCAACACCTTGATTCTTCAAAAGGTCATTAAATTAATCTGTGAATCAAGCAGTTTAATCGAAGGCTTCTGAAGAGACAATTAATTTACATGTAATACAAGTTTAATTTAGGCTATTCACGTATAAACATTGATCAACACATACTGTACATACATCAAATAATTTTTGGGTGAACGATCACTTAGGGATGTAACGATGCATGCAGAGCCAGGTGAAAATCTATAGAAATATGCGATGATTCAAGTCGGTTGAGATGTTAAACGAATCGCGATGCATTATGGGGTGGGGATTTATGAGTGTATCTCTGAGGGGAACTGACTGTCTTCAGGATTTTAGATTGTATTTTCTTTTAATGCCGCTTGAACTGAGGCCTTGCAGTGATCAGTCACAACACATTAAAGAGTGACGGAACGCTATTTATTTGAATTTCTTAAAAATGAAACGAGGCTCGTGATTAAAATGCAGTGGTTGCCTCTAATTTTAAATGGAAAGAGCACAGACAAAGCCTTAGTTTGTTTATATGAAGATCTCTTTTATTTGTATTATAAATAAAAAAAGAAATGTACACCATTTTGTCTGAGAAATAATAAAAGAGCACCTTTTCATTGGTCTTGAACCTTATTTTGTTTAAAAAAAAAAAAAAAAGAGGAGAGAATCCCATCATGAAATCAGTATCATAAATCGTATCTCATTGTGAGTCGAGTGAATCGTTACATCCCTACTATCCCTTTAATGAATTAGTTGTTTGTTCATGCTGCCATTAACATTAATGACTATTGTAACCGCACAGATGTTTAGAGTTGTCCCTGTAATTGTTGTACACCAGAACAAATCAAGAGTGTGTGGAGGAGAGTTTTCTTCCAACCTTGAGAAAGCTGTTCAACGCTCCCGTGACATCTCCATTGTCTGAGGTAGACGCATCCAACGTGGCTGAACTGTTTGTTGAACTAACTCGACCCAGCGCTCTTGTGAAGCCTGCTGCCGTACAGGTACACTTGAATACACACGCACGCTTTATATAAAAAAAATAACAGGAATGGGGTTTGTTCAAAGCACTTTAAAGTGTTGATATTTTGTAAATGACCAACTTTTTTTTGCAGGCTGAGTCTGTGCATGACTCCCTGGCAGTGCGTGTCTGTAATGAAATCTTGCGAGACATTTCTGCTCCCGAGGTGCGTGTCTACTGTAAAACTCTCAGCTGGCTGGAGATTAACTCTGAACCTGGACCGGCTAACAGTGAATTGCAACTCCTGTTAAAAGACATTTTAAAGGTACTCTTTTGTGCACTTATGGTTGGAGAGGCACACTGGATAAAAGCAAAGAACAGCAGATTAATGGATAAGAAATTAATGAAATATCCCGTCAGATTAGAAGAGCATTATGGTAAGCAGTTATGATCATAGTGACATTGATCTTGTGTGTGTTACAGGGAGTGAAAGATAAGCACTGTATAAGGATTATTGAGAAGCTTTGTAACCAGCTGAATGGAGACCGTTGTTCCAAATCAGCCGGAAACCAGGACACAACTTTGCAGAACTTGGATGACAACAATGGAGGTACTAGCTAGCAAACTAACACGCATTTTACCAGCCTTTATTACCAGGCCCAGAAATGTATCAGGGCTGAGAGCAAAAACTTGTTCCCTTGGATGTATAATATTAGTATTGTTTTATTTATTCATCGAACGTTGTTTTTTTTTTTTTTTTTTTTAGAGTGTTTGCTCATCTGCAATACATCTATAGGATGTTTCCTGTTAGATGTCAAATAGATGGTTAGAAAATGTCTTTAAAGTGAACCTGATATGAAAGTTGCAGTCTTTTCTTCCTAGTGGTGACACTGCCATTCAAAAAATTTAGGATCGGGAAGATTTTAATTTTTTTTTTCTTTTTTTTAAGACACTTCTGCTCATCTAGGCTGCATTTATTTGATCAAAAATAGTGAAAACCGTAATATTGTGAAATTTAATTTAATATACTTTTAAAATGTAATTTATTTCTGTGATCAAAGCTGTATTTTCAGCATCATTACTCCAGTTTTCAGTGTCACATTATTCTTCAGAAATCATTCTAATATGCCGATTTATTAAAATAGAAGTCTTTTGTAACCGTACACTACTGTTTAAAAGTTTGGGGTCAGTACTTTTTCTTTAGTTTTTTGAAAGAAATTAATTTTATTCAGCAAGGATTTGTTAAATTGATAATATGATAGTATTTTGAATAAATGCTGTTCTTTTTAACTTTGTTCATCAAAGAATCCTGGGAAAAAGTATCTCAGGTTCCAAAAAAAAATATTAAGCTGCAATAATTGTTTCCAACAATGATAATGAATCAGCATATCAGAATTATTTCTGAAACATCTTGAGACACTGAAGACTGGAGTAATGATGCTGAAAATTCAGCTTGGCATTACAAGAAAACATGTTTTTTTTTAAATGTATTAAAATAGAAAACTGATATTTCAAATTGTAATATTTCACAATATTAGTTTTCTGTATTTGAACAGATAAATGTAGCTTTAATGAGCAGAAGAGGCTTTTTTTTAAAAATGTGTAAAAAGTATGTGTGTGTGTGTGTGTGAAACTGCTTTTCGAACAAGGAGGGACTTGATTTATTGTCCATCAGGAATTGATTGGATTGTTTGTTATCGTAGAATTGAAACTTGTCTGGATATATGACAACTGTATTATCAGGGAAGAGACGTTGTTGCAACCTTCAATAAAAAAAAAATACACCAATTGCTCTAGCTGACAAGTACCCAGACACAATGGTTTAAATCGAATAGAATAAACTAGGTGGGAAATTAACATACAATTACTAAAATATGCCTCTAAGGTGGTTTCTGTGTTGCACTGGCTAAACTTGTATTTCACAGATGCAAGCCACTCTTGTTACAGAGAGCCTAAATGAACCAAGATGACCTCCACAAAACCTAATGCTGATGATACATGGGGCAACTTTGAGCAATGTTGCCGTCAACGGGCATCCAGATAAGAAACAAGGCCCATGACTGATCTAATAATGTGCAGATATAAATGTGTTACCCATTTTCAATGGGAAAGTGCCCAAGCAGCACTGCTCAAAAAAAGTTGCGCCGTGTATCATCAGCCTAAGGCCATAGCAGGGCAACTTTAACTTTCTACATACTTGGGGCAGAGCCACAGATTGGTAACACAAACATCAGATGGGAACTAGAGCTAACAACACAGTATTTAAATAGATACTAAACATACAGGCTGTATAACCAGTTAGAATGTTTTTGGTAGAGGCCTAAATGAATGACATGGTTACAACAATGGGTTTATCAGTTCAGACCAAACTACCATGCCTTGCCAGTAGATTTCAGGAGGTAGGTGTCACATACGGCAATAGATCAAATTAAAGTTTGCACAACAAAAGTTCTTGTATTGAAGAAACAATGTGAAACACATAACTTTAAAAAAAAAAAAAAAAGGAAAACAATCTTACATCTTTAAATGTAAAACATTGCACCAAAAATACACTGTACATTACAACAATGGTTTAAGTCAGAAATGAGAAAATGAAACCGGTAGCTAGTTTGGGTTTGGTAGTGCAAAGAGAACAAAGCTGGATGTAAATTAATGCTTAAATGATTT